GCTCTCAAGAGAACATCCCGGGCTACAGCAAACACACACACACTCACACATACTGGCAAACACACTGACACACACAGGAAGCCAGGTATCAAAGCGAGGTGGCTTTGAAGCGACTAAATGAAAGGCTGCCGGCAGAAATGACAATGTTTTCTGGCAGGCTCTTACTCTACGTCTGGCTTAGAGGGAGGGCTTGGGAAATAAAGTCAGTATTATGATCTGAACACCGAGATATGAGCTCTCCTAACCGCCTCCATCTGTCCTTGCACAGCCTACATTTGAAGTCTCACTTGGATCTGCATTCTAGTCTATACCCTGCTAGTGCTGCAAGGATCTCAGTCTGTGTTCTTAAAAGAAAGAAAGGACGAAGAAGAGGTGCCTGTGTGTTTGTGTGTAGCCTAAATCACTGAACACAAGTTGTCGGGTCCCTGCGGCTCCGTGTCTGTGGTCTGCAGATAATGATCATCATTAGTGGATGTATTTTTTTTTATATTCTCTCTCCTTTTTGCCTTTCACGGTGCTGCTCTCTGTACCATCACTTAACTCGTCTTACATTTCTTGGCTATAACCACCGTGCGGCGGGAGTGTGTTGGAGGAAAAAGACAAATATTGAAGTTGGACACAGCCTGGTTGTTTTATGGAGCGAGCAGCTAAGGGTGGTGTTCTGGATACTCACTGGCACATTATGTCTATGAAAGCAGGGCATCGTGGTCAACCTCAAAAATTGTTCTTAATATTTCTGACATTCACTTTCTTCTTCTCCCAGTTGGACATTTGAAATCAGGGACAGATGAAGCAGTGTTGCAATTAGCCCTGCTTGTTATCCGCATGGGGTGAAACACAGTGGTAGCAGTCATGTGTGGTGCTTGTGACTCAGTGTGTAGAGTGAGCCTGTGTGGTTGGCAGTATGATCCATCAGTAGTGGCCCTCAAGCCTTAATTAATATCATTTGTGAGTTCCGCGTGACACAACCCCTCCCCTCCTTCTTTCCTCCTCTCCCTCTTTGCACCACCCCTTCCTCTTTTTCCCCATATGACCTGTTAACATCCTAAAGTGTGTCGTTGTCAATCTGACACGACCAGTGAGTCCGACGTAAAGTGATTTATGAGGGTATGCCTGCCTCTTTGAGAGGGTTTTTTTTAAATTTGAGGCAGGCGTGTGCGCTCATGTTCAAAGGCACACACACTCCTAGAGCAACAAGAGCAAATCTGCCTACTTTGAACAGGCTAATGCTCATCCAATCCAATATGGAGCCGGGCTGACAGATGGGCCCAGTGTGTTCAAAGCAGAGGGCGCCAATTTAATATCCCAACAGGTCAAGCCAAAGAGAGGCAGAGCGAGAGAGAGGGAGAGACGCCCCTGTGTAGGCACGGCGCAAAAGGTCTCGCCAGCACTGCCACCACAGCTGGGACTCACCTCACCTCCCCCCCCTCCTCCCTCTGCCTCCCACACTCTCTTGTTCTTGTTGCCAGGCGGGGAAGCAGGCTGAGCGCAGTTCCTCCTCACAAACATTGTAATCAGCATTTGTTTAGTGTTATTATATCTGCCTAAGAGAAGGAGGCTTGAGGGGGTTATCCTTCCTTCTTCCAAGTAGCCAAAGTGCTCACTGTGAAGCCCCATAAGGAGAGGAGGATTGCAGAGTGGGATCCTGCTGCTGGCCTGCTTTGACAGCCTGATTTAGAGGTGCTTTTTCTTACCTCTGACACAGAGTCCCAGCCTGCCCCGCTCTACTGCAGGGGCTGGAAGAGGAATGGTGGTGCTTATCCTGAAAGCCTGTTATTTGTGTGTGTGTGTGTTAACGTGTGGGTGTGTTTGTAAGAGAGTGCATCGGCTCGTCTGTGTGTGTGTTTGCTCACACAGCATGCTGGCATTTCTTTTTTAACAATCTCTTTTGTCAGTCACCGAGATGTCGTAGATTGTGTGAGCACAGCAGATCTCTTGTACCCCGCCAGTGTACGTTCACACACACACAGTTGTTGAATCTGTGCGTGTGTTTTCCGTGGTCCAGATGGAAGTGCTTATTGAGGGCTGGTGTGCTGGCTCATACATTTTTCTCGACGAGAGAAAATGAGGGAGGAAAATGAGGAAGTGAGAAAGCCGAGTGGAAAACCCTTCCAATCAGATCCGTCATCTGTGTGTGTTTATGCGCGTGTATGTGTGATCTTCCCTAGCCGGCTCTCCCTGCCTCCCCTCTCTAATCTTATCATGTCGGAGCAGCAGATTAGTCCTCCCAGATCCCATCTCTTCCTCCAAATGCAACAATCAGCCTTTTGTTCTTTGCTTGTGCTTACTCTCCCCTTGCGGCTCGGCAAGGTGAACACTCCTAAAACCCGCCCCCTGTGCCATTTTGAGCCCCTGCCTGTCAATGTCACACCGCAACGAGCCTCCCGTGCCCCTGGGGCGTTAGCTAACTGAGCTTTTAGCCCAGCAACCTGCTAGCCTAGCTGAACTGCTTGACATTCCTTGCTAACACTGAGCTGCTGCTGCTGCTGCTCTTGTCTGTTTGACCTCCCCCTCCTCTCCCCCCCCCTTCACTCTCTGCTTTCTCCTTTGTCTGTGTCTTTGGGATCTGTCTTTCCTTCCTTCTGGCTGCCACCTCCTGAAGGAAGTCCTAGATCCCGGGCTGCTGATGTCACTAGTGAGGGGAGGGAGGGATGGAGNGGTGGTGTCACTAACAGGGTTAGCAAAGGAAGAAGAGAGTGTTTGAAAAGCAGAGAAAATAAACAGAGGTTTCCTGTTAACGAGGTGCACTGGGGGCCTGTCGTGTGGGAGCGAGAGGGTCTGGTTTTGTTTAAAAGAAGCTCTAGTGTTACAGTGCGGAGAAGAGGACGATAGGGCATCAGGTTTGAGGGTTACAGGTTGAAACAATGAGTTTTGTCACTGTACGGCTTGCCAATGACCATATTGTAAAGAGCGCTGTAAACAGACGTTGGAGAAAGCCTGGGCTCACTGCTGCCGCAATGAATGGCATTGGCCTTGTCATTGGTTTTGAATTAAAAAGCACTGTATTGATTTCACACTCTTAGTTGAAAACGTGGAATTAAGCCCACACTAAGTGCATCTTTTAAGTGTACGCCTAACAGAGCTGGTTTTTCTTTTCAAAATGTGAAAGCCTGTTCTTGTTAAAAAGGAACGTCTGCCCTCTAGATTTCCGTCTCCCCTCCAGTCTTTGTAGTGGTGTGGTCGTACACAGGGGCCCCCGCTCCAGAGTTGACTGCACACACATGCAGCCTCACAAAGAAAACTGCACAGCCATTATAGATCCAAGGGGCCAGCCACCTTCAGCTAGTCAGAGGGAGAATGAACTGACTCACAGTGCCTGACTTGTCTTGGCTGCTTTTAGAACAGTGATGTGTTTAATATTAATAATGATTTTAGATTCATCCTGCAAGAAATATACTTAAAGTCTCATCCCGTTTAGAACCTTTTGAGGCCCTCGTTTAATCCAACCCCTGTTTGATGAGTATGCCCAAGAATGCCACAGGCCAGGCTGAGGCACTGGAGAGAGGAGGGGGACGATTGTGCTCAGCCCCCAAAGCATGACTCTCAGATTTATATCTCCTGAATGAATAAAGGGGCAGCCTTGTACCCTGGGGGTTTCACTAAAGCAGGAGGAGGATAGTTGTAATTTTAAGTCTGAGGAAATGAGAAGGTCCTGCTCTTCCTACCTTAATCCAGCTCCTCATTTCCCCTCCTCTATCTCCTTTGCTCTGCTTCCTTGCACTTTTTCTTTTTTCCTGCTCTTGTTTCATTTCTTTCCCTCAGTAGTGGGTTAGTAAGTCTTTTGGCCTCTCGGCAGTGAGCAGCATTCCCAGGGTTTAGGGCCTAGGAGGAGGGAGGGCAGGGCCATGTTTAGCCTCTGGCAGGACAGACAAAGATGGCGGACATTGTGCGGGGCTCAGCTCTCTACAGGCAGCGTGGAATGTCTCTAATCAATTCAGCATTGTGGTTCCCTCTTATATGTTCTCTCTCTGTTCTTTTCTATGGCAGGCTTAGGAAAAAACCCAGACAATACAACTAGTGGTCCGTAAGGCGAGTCTGAGCTGTCTATCATCCCCCTTCATTTTCTCTTTTTGCGTTATCTACTCATTTTTCCACCCTGCATGTTTATAGAATTGTGATAATTGAAAGCTATGCTTCACTCCCACTACGTGCTCCATATGTTGCACTCTCAGTCTGTCTCTCCATCTCCCTCCCTCGTTTGCCTGAGAGGGCTTAACGCCGCTGTGAGCTTCTAAACAGCAATCTGCTCGGGAGAGCGACAGCTATGTAGCAACGAGGATACTGATGATAGCTGAAGTTACGTTTGCTCTGTGCTTTAGTTTGTTTTGCTTAAAATAATGCGGGCTCATGAGTAAGGTGTAAAATCTGTGAGTGTGATTGCACCTGCTTTTCTATTTGCATCAGGCTCTATGTCCCAGCTCTCAGAAATCCCTTTGATTTTGTGGTTTTACAGGCAGAAAATCAAATGTTCAGGTAGCACACTGACAGTGTTTACAGTCTTTTTACAGTATTAATTATGTATAAGCAGCGGATAAATACTCATTCTGCTGTTGCAAGCAGTCTGTTAGTCTAAAAGGCAACAATGTCTGCACACTGGATAGACAAGAGGTTGATATGGGTGGGCTAACTGCCGGGAGGGGGAGCGACATGACGTCATTGCACACATTTCTTCACACACCATATGTTTTAGGTGCTCCGGGGCTCTGTGTCTCGGTCCATCAGTATGGCTTTCTGCTGAATCACAAAGTGTTGTGCGGTTGTGTTACGTTGCGTGATGTTGCGTGTACACTATCTCACAATCATCCGGAGCAGTTAACGCAGCTGACTGACTGCGTGCCAGCTGCTGTTCAACACGTCCAGGCTCACTTACTCAGTCGTTCCTCCTCCCTTCTCAAGGTTGGAGAAAGGGAGGAATGAGGGGAAGAAAATGGAGAGGAGGTGAAGTGGAGGGTTGGAATTAGAAAGATGGAGATTGAGGCAGGCAGGAAGAGGAGGAAGCAATGGAGAAAATGGGAAAACCAGAGGTGGGCTGGAGGGTTTAGGGAGGTGATGATTTGCTTGGCTGCGTGTGCTCAGCCTCCTCCCCAGTGGCAAAACAGAACAATGTACTCTAAAGGCCTTAAATATCTTTACTCTGACCTCATGTTCCTGCACACACAGATACAGTTAAGAGCCTGGAAAGAGCGGAAGTTACACTGTCTGTCTTAGATTACCACAGACTTTTCCCCATTCTAGCGTTTTTCCATATGCTCATTCCTCCTTTAATCCACCGGCGGTGCAGGTGTCTTAGCCGGTTAGTGCAGTGCAGCGTGGCCAGCTCTCTCATAAAGATGACTGTTTCGCAGTCCAGCACCCAGCTCTCTAATGTTCTTCCAAAGCAATGTGACAGTCCGTTTGGCTTATGTGAAGGCACAATAAATATTTTATAACATGAAATGAAAACACTACTTTGCCCTTTTCATCTCTCACCTCAGCACTGGCCTCAGTTTCTACCATTTTCTTCCATCCCCCATTTATCCCTCCCTCTCTGTTTGTTCATTGACTGGTCCTGGAGAAGCTCTTTTCTCACCTCAGTGCTGCCACTTGCTGGTCATCTAAAGGATTGCAAGCCTTTGCTGATTTGCACTTTATCAAGTGGCCAGTGGGTGGCAGCACTTAGAAAATATAAAGCCCAAAGCACTGTTAAGAGATACAGTGCATGTTCATGAGGAAACCTTAATAGCCTTCTTAGTAATTTAAAATCATAAAATACCCCCCCCCCCCCGGTTCCTCTATTTCCCCTTCCTCCAGCAACAGCCATTCCTCTGTTTACTTTATTAAGGCTCTAAATGCTCGGCAATCCCTTTTTAATTGACTTGGTCGCTCTGCAAGCTTTTTGGCATCAGCCTGTGTGAGTCATAAACAGAGCTACTGCGCAGCGTCTGTGTTTGCCAAGAGGCCAGTTTGTGACATCGTAATCAAACAAAATGATGTCTGTTTATCTTGGTGTCCGATCATTTTTGTTCTCCTGCTGACTCGCCGTGTGTCTCTCTGTGTTGCAGAGTAAACGGGACCATCTGCTGATGAATGTGAAATGGTACTACCGCCAGTCAGAGGTGCCCGATTCCGTCTACCAGCACCTGGTGCAGGATCGCAACAATGAAAACGGTGAGGCTGCCGTTTGTTCTCAAAACACATGTGCATATATACAGTACACACAAACAGAAAGCCACTCTGTAACGCAACACTCTCTCCTTCACACACACACACTCACGCACGCACACACACATGCACACATGCACACACACACACATTTGCCTCCAGACTGTTGTGGGATATAAGAGGCGTTTGCATTTCAAACATGAACCAGAAGACAGTTACCCAGGCAGCACAGCCAATCCCGCGGCTCCGTGCTGTTCCCCAGGTAACCCTCCTTCAGGCCAGACAGCAGCACGGTCGAGTGTTAATAAGCCGCAGTGTCATTTGGCCTTTGAGCACACACTCTCAACACCATCAGTGTCAGTGAACTCATCACACTCTAACACATACACATCTACAGGAACACAAGCACTGTCCATGGGTTTTAGCAGCGGTGATCTAATCCTAATGACATCAAGGAAAGGTCATGGTGTAAAATCTGATTTAACATAGACATGTAATAGTTGGGATAATCATTTCTCAATTAAAAAAAATAGCTTTTTCTTTATCAACAAAACTATCTTCACTGTTTTATTTTTATTATTATAAACAATTAAAAAATGCTCAGTCTTGGCAGCAAATACAGTATACCATCAAGTGAACAGTCAAATAAATAAAATCATAGTAATACAAATAAAGGTGAATATACTGATATTACAGTAATTACAATGTACAGAAATCTTGAAGATCACATGGGCTGGAACATTTTTTATCCGATTCTAATTTGATGATGTTATTAATGTTATTAAATATCAAACACAAAACAAGCGTTGGGTTGTTTTGTTTTTTATAAGCAGTTTGATTTATTGGTATTTAGTTTTAAAAGGTAAATATTCCCAGGTGACTTTTTATCTTTAAAAATACTAAAACCAATTTATTGATTTGTTCAAAAGAGGGAAACCAATCAAGGCAAGATAGTTTGCTCCGTGTGATCTTCTTATTTAAAAGTTGACCACTAAACAATTGTTGCCCCTCGGTTTGCCCTTTCTACAATAATACAAGTATCACTTACAGACATGGATCAGTTTAGCCATTGAGCAGATACACTGTGTGCTGTTTTCTTCAGTGCAGCGCAGTGCTGCTCTATCTTCAGTTTGCGCTCGCAGCAGGGATTTAGGATTATTAGAATTGATGTCACAAGGCCCGAGCACAGCGGCATGGCATATCTCGGGTCATTTGTCACGACGAGTGCCAACCCGTCGTGGTGCTGCTTTCACTAGTGAGAACTGAACATGAAGTCCTCACCTCAGGGGAATGCACTTTATTGGCTTTATTGAATTATGTGGCAGATTATTGACCTCTGCAGAGGCACTTGTTACTTTCATGCTCATGATTTTCATTAGTGTGTTCAACTACAAAAGCTACTTTATGTCTGTTCCCTCTTTGTCGTAGATAGATGATGTCATGTAGATATATTCAGTACATTGGTTTTATTCACCCTGCAGACTCTGGCCGGGAGCTGGTCATCACAGACCCCGTGGTCAGGAGTCGAGAACTCTTCATCTCTGACTATGTGGACACTTATCATGCTGCTGCTCTCAGGTAAGCAAACAGGAACACACAAGCGCACACTCACTGTGAATGTTGCTTGGACTGAACTTTGAAAAACTGCTTTTCATTTTTGACTCCAGGGACACAATACAGAAACCTCCTCAAAGAAATGTGATCTTAAATCTCAAAACCTCTACTGTGTTTTATTTTATACATTGTATTCTATCTGTAAATGTGTCTATCCTGATAGCATAATTCTTGGTTATTTTGAAACAAAATGTTGTACTTTTATGTCCTTTTTTTAGTTTAAATATCCAACTGTATCTGTCGTAATTTTTATCATTTTAAAGTGGCTTTTACTATTTGTCTAGTAAGACACAATTACAATGTATCTGTACTTTTCTGAGCAGTGGCAACAAACAGTAATATTTCAGAGTTACTGCTGTGTTTCTATCAACTTCCATTAACCAACTAAAAGAAAATCCCAGTTAATTGCTCTGTTAATTAAAAAATGATATACTAACCTCTGGTGCTGGGACTAGGTGCTGTAGAAGTAGCCCATATGTGTAAAGATGCAAAGCCTGAAATGAGAAACATGCCTCAGGCTGTCTTCTATTAAAACACTGATTGAAATGACTGTGCATCAACTCCTATATACACACACCTGTCAGAACATGAGCCTGTCTGGTGAAACTGATGGCACTGCTGTGTGTCAGGAGAGAGGAACACCGGCTTCATCGTTTCCTTGGTCTGAAATCAGATATTCTGTGTTCCTGCCTCTACATCCATTCTTGTCTGACCACCTCTCGCACTTCCCCTTTTCTTTAACCGAAACCATGTGTGAGCCGCACAGCAGTGGGCAGTCAGAAGCGTGTCTCTTAGAAACCACTGATTTCAGGGCAAATTAGCTGCAACTTCTCCCTCTTTGATTTGACTTATTTTCCAGGCTTTAGATAAACGGGAGGGAATTCCAGTGGGATGCTGTAATGCCGCAGCTTTGTGAACACTGCTCTTCTTAGCGCCCTTTAATCTTTTCAGGGAGAGGAAGATACTTTTTCTCTGCAAGGCCCGCAGCACCATATGCCTGTGATATCTGTTATGTAGATAGAGCCAGACACCAGTGTGCTGGAAACAGGAAATGGTATCAAGATGTGCTCAGAGCCGTCCTCCCGGCAGTGGGGGAATGTGTTGGAAGGCGCACAGGTTGAATTCCTGTCCCGACCCGTGCAGTGTTTGCCTCCCACACCTCATCTGCAGGACTGGCATGTTCAGCTGGTGTTTATGGGTTCAGTAGCCAGAGCCTGGTGTCTCACAGAAAAGTCAGCAGCCACTGACAGACAGGCACTACATACCTGCTGCTGCTGTATTTGTCACTTCCAATAGATGAACAGCCCAAGAGCTTTGAATTAGAACTGCTGGGGTATCACTTTGTCATGCTAGTGTTTTGTCTAATAAAGCCTTTCTTCTGTTTCACAGGGGGAAATGCAATATTTCGCATTTCTCCGACATTTTTGCTGCCAGGGAGTTCAAAGCCCGCATCGACTCCTTTTTCTATATCCTCGGATATAACCCAGAGACCAGGTAAGGAGCTTTCTGTCCACTCAAGTCAACTGATAGAGACCCTTCTTATTCCCTAGCAGGCCAAACATGCAAGGTCCACTCTCAGCAACTATCATATAATTTCCTTAAAATAAGGCTGCAACCAACAATTTCTTTCTTGATTTAACCTTATAAGATCTCAGTAAAAAGTGATGAAGGCAATCACAATTTCTCAAGACAAGATCATTTCTTCAAAAATAATAAAATATATTTGTAACATTCCAAAGCCCCAAAATATTATCTATCCCATATAAAGAGAATAGCAGCTCACAAGTCAGAAGCCTTAACTAATAGTATAGTAATGTGAAGCATTATTACACTGTATTAAACAATGATTACATTAACCAGTTTTTCTAAACAATTATCAAAGATATTATTAACATCCTGTTTGTTTGATTGATCGCATTATCGTTTTAGCTAGGAAGTCAAAGTTAATGGGTGGGTTCAATTTAATAGAAACTATAGCCATTAGTTACAGCTGAGCAGTTTACCGATGTAAGATTATATGAGACAAGATGGGTATTTATGGAGTGATATCACAACGTTACCCTATAATAAATACCATATAGGTAGATTCAGAGTGATCATAGATATCAATGAGTCAAATTTATTAGGATATTTGCTTTTTTAAGTATCACTCAGCACATTTCAGAAAGGGAGATTAACAATGTACATTTTGTCATTTTCATTACGGATGTGCTTTCTTCTTTTTTGGCTTTGGTTGCACAGTGTTATGTGTAATGATGCTTTCTGCTCATTACTGCTGTCAGTGTTATCAGTGCACAAAGGATGGTTCTAATGTGGTGTCATTATGGGAAATGAGCCGGGCAAAACCCTGTGGCTTTATAATTGTGGGTGCGTTTGTGGATTTTTGTCAAATTACATGTCAAGTTTAATCACTGATCTTTTTTGTTAATGTTAAGATAAAACATTTAAAAATCCACAAAAAGCTCATCAGGCAGTCCCTTGTTTGATTAGGATGACCTGCCTTTTTCACACAAGACATTTTGACACCTCACAGTATGAAAAGCACATTAAAAAAAAATACAATTAATATTGATTACATTTTGCCCATCCACTTAAGTTTAGGATCCGTGTTTTGTGGATGCTGGCTGGCTCAGTGTTGAATTACAATGGGAAAAGTGATATTATTAATGTTATTAGTAAATCCAGTTCTTCATCTGTTATGGAAAGTCAAAATGTCTGCTGTGAAAAACCACTGGCGCTTATATTAAAACACTACATTTGTTTCATCATGTCTAGTAGCATTGTTGATTATTGGTCATTTTGGTAATTGTTATCATAGTTCAATTCATAATAATACAGTAGTTTTGGGTTATCAGTGCAATTTAATATGATTGTATTACTGGAGTTAGTTTGATACTGTATGATATCTTGTGTATTTCATTACATTCTTTGTTACACTGATGATAATAACAACATCTCCACACAGTTGAAATTCAGTTTATTACGATCACTGTGAGCTGGGGTCCACAAAACTGTGGACAATACACTTATGTACTTGCATAATAACCATACATTGCAGAAAATAGAGGGGAAGATTACGAATCAAGACAGACAAGACAAGCTCATTAATATGTGTAATGCTAGAAGAGAAATACATGAGAATAAATATTTTGGCATACGTTTTTTACAGCTTTATTTAAATAATTAATATTTAATAACATCTATTCCCAATAGAAACAATGTAAATTTCGAAGGGTTTACTAAACATCATACATGGAGGAGTTTATATTGGTGCTCAGGCTAAATTGGTGATTGTTATTATCCACTGGTGGTGTTTGGTGTCTCACGTGTTGCAATGACGGCTGTCCCTGTTATTGGCACTGAGGGTTGCCTGTTGGGAACCCCCTCCTTCAGGGGCCCTGCTCAGTCTCCCCCTCCCTCCCCCTCTCCTCCTCGCTTGGTATTCTGAGCGGGTTGTCTGCAGCCTTGCAATTTCACTCTTGTTTATTATGTCGCAGGCATACGCGGAGAGATGAATTCCGTATCCTGCATGCGTGTCTGTCTGCCTGTGTGTCTGTGCGCGTATGTGCTGTGTGAGGTCGCAGCACATGCTCAGTTGTGTCTATAGAGGAGCTCGCGACGCTGAGGTCACAGCACAAACTCAGTGAATACCTCTCCGGAGCGAATGCGTGCTTCTCCATTTTGAGCACCTAGAAATAGGTGGGAGAGGAGAGTTAAATCCAACGAGCATTATACACACAGTGTCACCACCCAACCTTAGGGCTCGATGTCAGAAATGGACGATTTGTTCAGTCCCCGGAGGTAGGTTTTCGATTATATTCTCGTGCTTTCTCTTGCCGTTATTACTCGCTGCGTGAGTGTTGTCTCATTTTCACGAGTCTCGTGTCCAACGGCATGATGTTTCCGAGTTTTCCACATCGTTGTCATTGTGATAACCGACTGTTTTTGTGTCGGGGAGCAAGCTGGCGAGTGTGTACGTTGTGTCAGTAGCAGGAACATTGAATGCTTTTGAACATGCAGGCTGTCATCGCAGAGCACATACCGTTGCGTTTGCGCTGCAATAATAGACATGCCGCTGCATCACACCTCTATTAATACGTTACTATCAGAGTACAGTTACATGCATATTGTGTACGATGCATCCACCATTACGAGGCTGATAAATATGCAGCCAGTCTGCTTATATGACGGTGATACACCCGGAGATGCTAACCTTACCCTGGCTCCATTTTGCAGCTCCTGTTTACAATCGGGACGACATGGCGCATGCTGCTCTGCACACAAAGCTCTGCCGGCGGCTTAGCTGTGATGCGAGCACGCTGCCCGCCATGGTAGTTAAATACCATCAAGTTGGGTCTGTTTTGCTGTGCTGCAATTATGTCAGTGTGCCACAGACTCGCGCCGTGATTGGCTGAAATTGATAGAGGGGGGCGGGGCCATCCTTGATTACATACACACAGAAAGTTGACCAGACTGTCACGTTGTTGTTGTTTGGGTTTAATAAGTAAGCCTGTAATTATTCGGCAAGACTGTGTCCTTATGCAGAATTAGATCTGACTTTGTTTTGTGTAACAACTGAGCATGTTTTGTAATGTTTATTGTGCTAGGCAACATGCTTTTTGCAGTTTATTGTAAGTAGAAAAGAAAACAACTCAAATAAGTCAGTATTAATACGTCTTAGATGATGCTCTATAAATAGTGACGAAATTAAAAGACTGGATTCTGTATCATTTCTTCTTCCATGTTTGATTGCTAAAAACTAAAACTATGTTATTATATTATATTATTTTTGCTGCACATATAGCCTAATAATAATAATAATAGTTGGTAAGTTTGCCTCATCTGTAGGCTGCTTCTGTTCAAGTATACCTGCAGTCTTTAAGCAAACTCCTGAGAGCTTCCTGCTTCGATACATCTGTATTCTGCCTCCTCTCTTAGGACCTGAGCAGCATTCCTTCTCAATGTAGGCCGTCTGGATTTGCCTGAGTAAAACATGGCTGTTCTTATTCTGGTGCACAGGTCCTCGTTTGTCATCCTTACAGTCTCCTGCCAACAGACTTGGCCGACTGCACATTGTCAGGAACACATTTGTAGAACATTTTCCTCTCAGCACAAACACAGATTCACATTCAGGTAGTCCGTAGACTACATGCAGGCATTCATTCGGTAAAACTATTCAGCAGTGTAGATAAAAAGTATATAAAAAACAGGATTATGTATTTTTGTATTCAAGTTCGTTCAAATGTAATCAATCCATACAAATAGTTAGTTATTAGTGGGCCTGCATCTGCAATTTATTTCATATTGATATATTTTTCGATAAATCGTAAAGTTCTTTAGTCTATAAAAGGTTTAAAAATATCAATCAGTGTTTCCCAAAGCCCAAGATGACATACTTCTTTTTACCACAACTCAATGATATTTTGTTTACTGTCATAGAGGAGTAAATACATCAGAGGAAGTTTGATATGTAAACTTTTTGGTTTTATTAAACAGATGTATCAGTTATTAAAGTAATTAAAATTATTTGAATAGTGTAAAACAAATCTATTTTTCTTCATAGCTCTGGATTTAAGTGTGTTAGTTCCTTGCTACTGGCAATTAATAACAATTCCTAAATGTTCAGTTAAATAACGGCAGGAGAGATGCTGCTCAAAGTAAAGCACAAGTATTATTAAATATTTATAAAAACCTTCAATATAGAATCTAAAATGCTGATAAAAAATGAAACAGTCATATTTATCAGCCCTAGTCATTGCTGCAATATCGCGCAGTCTGCCAAATTGCCTTACATTAACTTAGCCTACCGGGAATGTTTATAACAAAATGAAATAAAGTATTTCGGCATGTTCTGGGGCAGCAGGCGTTCCTGGCAGGCCCGGGGTCATTTCCTGCAGGTTTCTTGTATTGGCCTTGTTGTGATATCATCAGTGCCAGTGTCTGTCAGCCATAGTTCATAAGAGTATATGGATTACTCCTCTAATCGCTCTCCCCTGTCTGTGAGCTCTGTTTAAGAAGGGAGAAGGGGAGTTGGGTCAGATCTGAACCTTCACAGTGTTTAGTGGTCTGAGGACTGTAAAGAGTCCAGAGGGCTGCGGCCTCTCAGGTTTCCTCCAGCTCTCCGTGATGGAGTGCGAGCTTCTCGCGGTGCAAATCACGCTGACAGATTCTGGGCCGCCCCGCACTTGGCTGCATGAAAATTGGCGCTGTTACCTAGGCAACAGAGGGAATGGCTTTTCAAAAGGAACATCTTGTCATTTTCTTTAATCCACTGCAGCTGGAGATTCTGAACACTATTATTAAATTGCAGTTGCTATGGCTACCAACATTTGTAGCAGCAGCCACTCGCCCTGCAGAGCCAGCTCCCCCCACCTCCACCTCCACCTCTTTTAAGGGGATTCTGTTTTATTGCTGCATCCACAATATCAGGCCTGTAAATTTGCTCCGCTCAGCTCGCTGTGCAGGAACGGTCGACTGGGAATATTCTCCTGAAATCTTTATTTGCTTTACAGAATAAAACACTATATGCTTTTCTCACATATCTGATATAATTCCACAGTAGGAGGTACAGCCCATGTCCCCTCGCTCTGTATCTGATCCTGACCAGGTCATGAAATGTTCCCTTTTCTGACATTTTCTTGTGAAGTTTCAGTATCTAAGGATACCCAGTTGTGACTTTGTAGTTTGTGTTGTTTAGCTGATTCAACAGGCACAATGCAGCCAGACTTCTTTCAGCTAGCCTTGAAATGTTGCCAAGTAAATATTTAGTTTCAATCTGCTGTCTTTGTTTCTTCTCAGGCGACTAAACAGCACACAAGGGGAAATCCGAGTGGGACCCAGTCACCAAGTAAGTCACTGTATAGCACACATCAGCCAGCTGTTGACTCCAGAGATTTCTCTATTGTTGTTGAAGACAGCTTGCAGCAGCCTCTTTGCTGCAAAGTTGTCTTGGATTTGTGGATTTTATTACAAAACATTCAAAGTTCTAATCCCTTAATTGCTATTTAGTCTGATTCATGGCATTGCTTATAATTTAAGATGTAGTAGTACTATAGTCTTGCCACTCAGCTTTACCACAATGTATCTGCAAATGAGTTGAAGATCCTGATAAATGCTGTTTTAGCAAGTTTGATATAGTCTGAAATGTATCACATCTAAAACTTCTTATCTTAACATTAAAACAAAAATACAACATTAGTTTGATCAGATAATGATTCCAGTTTGTATGTAATACAATACAACACTTTAGTTAACCATGATGGAATCAAGATTCTTTAAAGCAGACGCATTTAAATAGGAATTTGCCTTAAGTTTGCATTATAGCTTTTTACAGTAACATTTGCATCTGCCAGCCAAAGCTGTAGTTAAAATGTGGTGTAGCTTTCTGTAATAACTGTGTGTACTTATACAAACTTGCTTAAGGTTAAAACATATTTATGATAACACTACATTTAGGCAAGTTTTGTTCCATGTTTATAGCAAAAGGGAAAGTGATCTGAGTACTGCGGCTCTGTGTTGTGTTAGGATATTGATCACTCAATCATTGTGACTGTAACTTGTCCCCGTTGTCCCCACCTCGCCTCTCTGTGAAAACTTGATGACAGGGAGTTGAAAGCTGATACTTTTTAAAAGCTAGCTTGCTATTTGTTGTGTGTCACCTTCTGTCCCTCTCCTTCTCCCTGGACATAATTAGGCAAAGCTCCCAGAGCTGCAGCCTTTCCCCTCTCCTGGGGGCCAGGCCGTGACCGAGAACGAGGAGCTGGTCTGGATGCCGGGGGTCAATGACTGTGATCTTCTCATGTACCTCAGAGCCGCAAGGTGAGCCATTCAGACAGAGGGGCTGCAAGGGCCAACCTGCTAATCTAAGGCAAATCATCAATGAAGTTCAAGATGGTTATTTTAAAATATGAGATCCAAACTCTCCCTCACTGTATTGAAATAATAAGTAAATACAATACTTTCAAATATCAAAGAGTCAAGCACTGTGTAGGAATTACCATAATGATAACATATTTTGGGAAACAACTAGAGTACTCTTTTCACTACCGCAATAACAGGAAAACCTTCTCACAACATTTTTTGCACAATAGAACACATTTTTACATTTTTTTTTAAAGTTTGATAGTTACATGTTTTCGGAAATTCATGCCTTTTCGGGTTGTAAAAAAAAAAGAAGCTAAAAAAACGAATTATTGTTTCAGTTCAGTTTCATTTGAATGCTTATTTTAGTTTAAGTTTACTATAATAACCCTGCTGGTGTGGAATGTTAGTGCTAATTATTAATGTTACACATCATCAGGTGTATCACGGGAATAAATCATGATAAAATCAAGATGTTGCAGTGAAAGTTGTACTACATGTCAACAGGTTTCTATGTTAGCATTTAGTCAGGGGCCACAGTGTAATACATCACTGTGTCAGACAGTTGTTGAAGTTGAAATTCAATCAATATTATCCTGTCAATATTTATATCATATTTGTGTTCATGCTTACCAGTTTTGTAGAGACCCTTATTGTGTTAAATGTTTCTCTACCCTATACTGTGCATTATGATGTGCTTGATATCAACGCCTTGCTCAGTACAAATGTTAAAATGGTTTATAGTGGCTGGAACAAGCCAGCCATATCATGTACTTTTATAAGAACACAACTCTGCATTGACCTCAGTGCCCGTTGTCATGTTGACTTGATGTGTGTTGTGTCCACAGGAGCATGGCTGCCTTTGCAGGGATGTGTGACGGAGGCTCAACAGAAGACGGGTGTTTAGCAGCCTCTCGAGATGACACTACATTAAACGCACTTAACACTGTAAGTAGAAATGCAAAATATCACAAGTGCACATAATAAATAACAGTAAAATGTGGCTTCTGAATTACAGAAATTCCACCGTTGTGTTTTATCTATGATGCTGCACTGCAGTGAGGGGAATGATAAGACCCCAGAGCCCGTAGAGTAGCCCCCTGTAGCACACCCAGCCGAGGAGGTTCGCAATACATTAGACATAATGAGAGATTTGTCTTTCACATTGACAATGAATACGGAAGAATCAAGCACGAGAAAGAGATTAGAATCATCATAAACAGGGCATTTATATTCCGACTCTATAAACTAGAAAATTAACATAGCGGACAGGTCACTGTCTCTCGACCTTCATCTCTATTTGCAATTCCAATGAGTAATGCTTGTTTATTTTCCGAAGAAGGGCTCCAGCGCTGCATGTTTTAGCAAATTGAATGTGACACAGGGCTTAAAGCTACATGGCGATTGCCTTGGTCACTGCAGTGTTTATTTTCAGTCTGGTTCTTGGGTCTTTGTACAGCTTTCTCTCTTATCGCTCTAAGATCTCGCGTAAAATGTTAACCCATTCCCAGATATAAAATCAGTTTGCAACACAAATCAGCCCAATGAACTGTGTTGGTAAAGCTAAAATATTATCATCCAAAGCCTTTTATACATTTAATTTAATTATGTATCAGAATTACAAGCTGAGCTCTGTTAAGTGCCTCGATAAACATGAATCTGTTGTCATCTTGAAATGTACTTATTCAAAATAGTTATCCCCCTAATAAATCTTATTTCATTTCATTTTACTGTACAATATTACATTTTACATTCTGTTCTTGTATATATCATATTCTATTTACGAGGAGCTCGGGTCATAAGATGTTCATTACCATTTCTACACTGTAGCTTATGTGCATATGACATTAAAACCTTTGAAATTGAAAATTGAAATATTTTGCTGTGATTATCCTCAGCTTCACGAGAGCAGCTACGATGCAGGAAAAGCTCTCCAACGCCTGGTGAAGAAGCCCGTACCCAAACTGATAGAAAAGTGCTGGTCTGAGGATGAAGTGGTAAGAGAACCTCAGCTCTTAATATGGAAATGCATTAATATGGTGCTAGGCAACATAGAGTTATGGATATACTAAAGCAATGGAGTTTGTCTGATGTTGGTATTAATTGCGTGGGTGCCTGCTGTCCGTCAGAGCTGTCTTTGCGTCTTTAGAGGGAGCTGTTGAGAGAGAGTTTAAACAGGCTGCCCTTGGCCCAGTCTCACTTGACATCAGTAAAAGCACTCGTTAGTTTCCAGCTCCTCTAAGGCCCAAGAGCAGCTGCATCCTGTTTATCAACCACAGAATAAATCTTGAGTGTGGAAGTCTGGAAAGGGGAAAAAAGATTGAGCGCTGGTAATGTTAGCCTCCATTTGAATTTAGATGTGAATTTCACCACAGCTGTTGAAGGGCTGAAATCAGAAAATGGCAGCCCTTCTCCCCGATCAGCACGTTGTGAAGCGGGTGGGAGGAAAGTGCTGGATAACACCATGTCAGAACGGCTGAGAGCTGCTGCTTTCGACTTGATGCTTTATGACACACTGCGCTACATGTTAGTACACACAATCCTTTTTAAAGATAACACTGCTGACTGATCGGACTGAAGATCTTAGAAAACACAAGGCTGTGTTAGTGTTTCCTCCTCCTCTGTGTGAATTTCCACTTTGATATTGTTTGGTAATGCTGACGCTTGGCAGTCTTTTGTTGAGCTTTGAATCCAGCAGCTCAGATCCAGAGGAAGTGAATGGGTGTATTTATCTTGTAATTGAACTGGATGGGCAAATTTGAATAAAGCCAGAGCTCACTGCAGGACCGCAGCGAATCACAACAAATTAACTATGGCATCCTTTTCTCGGCTAGTTATGAGTTTGCCTTTATTTATGCATACTCGCCGGCGCCGAGCTTAACTGCTGTGTGAAGATGATCAGAGTTCTGAGCGGCCATGTTGATGATGCTTTACTGCCACATCCACCACAGCAGCTCGACCACAGACCCCAGCCAAAGGCGCACAGGGGGGCTCAATAGTAGGAGCTTTTAGTCAATCCAGAAAATAAAGCGGTCACTTCAGTTATTCACTTATGGGTTTTAGAACTGTCCTATCCAGTGGGACATGTGTGCTGCACAAATTATATAAAAACAATGACACTATCTACATTACCTTAAACCAGGGGTGCCCACACTTTTTTGGCTGGTGAGCTACTTTTGAAATGACCAGCTCACCGAGGTCTACCAACCAAAAATAAAATCCCAAATTGCAAGGGTTGCTGAATCACACGTTTTATTTATACATGGGATAACTACAATAGGGCTGCAACAAACGACTAATTTGATAATCGATGAATCTATCGATTAATGGACTATTCGGACTATTACTGCCTTGCACAATTTCTCAAACGCTTTTATTTAGCCATCGACTTTTAGATTTAGCTTGAGGTTGTTTTAGGCATGTGGAAACTAACAATGAAGACAATAAAGATGAATACTTGATTCAAAAATACATATATTATTAAATTAACTTAACAAATTGTGAACACAATTAACATTGCTTTTTATTTGAATTAAATAAATAATATTTCACATCAAAAGAAACAACGTTTTAACAAATCGTATTAAATAATCTGATGACAGAACTGTAAACAGAATAGCTGAAACTTTAACAAAATAAAAAGTAACTCAGTTACCTCTAATCATTAACCCATGTTTGTATCATTGAGTTAACTCCGTGTGTTGCTGCTACATAACACCTGACGTGGAAACGTTACTCGTGGATGGGGGGGCTACAGAGCTGCTAGAAAGACAGTCGAACCCGGTGCATTCCTCCGTCTGAATGTGGTGCACTTTTGCTACATGCTAAACACTCTTGGCAAGGAGCATTGTCCACCTCAAGACGGGTAACATTTAACCACACTCCTCCGGGTGTTGCTGCATGTAGCAGCCGCGTGTGTAAACTGCCCTGCCCCCTCGCACACAGACGGGAGAGAGATCTTTTCTGGATTGGAAAGGTCGAAAATACACCGACCATAGACGCATTTGTTTGTCTTTTTGCATGTTAGAAACGAGTTGGCGACACTAAGACTGCGAGATAAGGTTTTTGTAGCAATAATACATGACCTTTCTCTTTCTCAACTCGCTACTCGGAGGGAAGTCGCTGTCATATGCCTTGTGAACACTCCGATAATGCCTCTCCACGTTACCTTTCTTTGGCAGAGCGACGCTTGCTTTACACATAAGGCAAATAACCTTTGAATGTGACATCACAAAAAAATATTCTTCCTCCCATTCTGTGTGGAAGTGGTATGTCTTTAGCTTTTTGCTCGGTCCCGCACTCATTTTGTTGTTTGTCTCTTTAACTTAATTTGAGTTTTCCCGGCACTTGACTGATTTTGTATCGCTTTGCATTCTGGGTTAACAGACTGGAAAGCGATAGGTCGCTTTTTCTGTCAATCAAGTAAACTCCTGAATTAAGTAGCAGGGAGGCCAAGGGAGGAGGGATCAAAACCTGTTTTGTCTATTTTAACGAATGAATGACTCGCGATCTACAAGCTCACTACTGTAGGACGATGTCCCGTTCTGGCTGCGTTCTCGGTGAGACGTCTGAGAGGACAGAACACCACCTTGGCTGCCGGATGTCCTCCGGCACGCAAGAGTCCGTAGTTTCTTCTTGTCTCACAAGTAAGAATACTCACTCCTTCACTACAAAGATCGCATGTATTCACGACTCTACGGTGTCCTGACGGGTGGGACCACGTTATAAATCTTCCACACTTCGTATTAGTTCCGTACGTGGTGTGGAAGTTTACACTGTCCGAGAAGTTTCGTCTAAAGATCCGTGACAATTTGTTGAACTATTGTTCAGCGACGGGTCAGGCGAGTTAGAACGTAGGAACGAAGTCACGTGTTGACGTTTTTTTTTCTGTGTTATCACGCGGTCAACGCTTCACGTGTTGTCTGATTCGGCAACGTGTCTCGTTAGTCGTTGAACAGTTTTCTGTACGTACGTAGATCACGTTCACACCACGTAATGACTGGGTTCTTCACTACGTAACGACGAAATAGTTTACACTGCGTAGTGGTTATACCTAAATCCCAACGACGAGCGTGTAAACGTTACGGTCTACCTTTGAGCTTTCGGTAACCTAACTGTAGTGCTGTCATTTACGACGTCTCGTTGATTTCTGATGGAGAAGTATTGAACATGTTCCTTTCCTCGGACCGTCATAAAAAGCTTATTGCGAGGTGTTCGATGTAGATATCCTGCGCTTCAAATGATATCACTGCGATAGTGTTTCGGGGACAACGAGTGAAAAGTCCTCTACGCTCGCATGGGGTTTACCGGTTAGTCGCTCCTAGGTTGCAGCGCCGGCACTGGAACCTCGGGTACTTTATGTGGTATATCACATGTTTCTTCCTTCATGGTTCTGCTTTTTACGTCTGCCGTGACTCCGGCCGGACGTAGTAGATGGTCTCTTTGACTGTGAACCCGCGCTCCGGTTCTCTCATCCACAAGTAGTATCACCCCTCTAACAAAAACTAATAGCTAAAGTGAACACTGACATGTTCATTAATCATACCTGGTCTGTTCTAGGTCTGAGAGTACCACGCCCTTAACCATTTGTCTCCGACCAGTAGTCTTAGTTTCTTAAAATAAATAATCATAAGTCAAACGGTGAAATACGTCACGCTTTGAATACTTGAGTTCAATAGATTTGTTGACCCACAAACAAACACTCCCGCCGTTCTCAATAACAGCGGTTGGGGCGCCAAAGTGGGTTACGACCATACTGCGCTAAATCAGG